CATGGCTACACTCCAGGCATTTTCTATCAGGCAGTTTCTGCTGAGCTGTATCTAGAAGCAGCCCCCTCTGCCCCTCCAAGAGTTTTCCCCTTCAAAGTCCACGTGGAGGATCAAGGACCTCTATCTATTTAATTGTTGTTCTAGGATATCTTTCCCCAAATGATTGTTCTTCAGATGTTGTAGCACTCTAGGGCAGGGGTTCCTAAACTTTTTGCCATCATACCTCCCTTTAGTCTAAACTTAATGTACACACCTCCCCTAAAAATCCAAACACCAAAGGAACACAAATGAACAATGAAAACAATACAATGAAACTTTGGGAAAGGTGGATTTATTGGAACAATGTAACTAAAAGGTTCTTCACATCTCCCCTGGACTCTGTCTGCACCTCCCCAAGGTATGGGGCGATGCACTAAAAAGAATCATTAAGTAAATATTTAAGCCAAATTTGACAGAACATACCAACTATTTTTCATTGTTTGCTTCTTGTTAACTTTAATCACAGAAATATGTAGAAGCAACTGAGTGGGACCTTACAGCTGATTATCTGGATCGCTCCTAAGAGCCTTTTGGAACCCAGTTAAATAAAGATGTAATTTTTTTTAATGTTTGCCTAGATCACCCTCTGTACTTATTTTGTCCACATGTACCTCTTCTTTTTATATCCTTAAATTACATCTATGAGTGGCAGAGAGGGTGGGACTTCTGTACCTGTGGGCTATGGGGAGTCAGAGGTAAGCAGTATCTGGAAAACATAGACCATTTTAAAAATGAAGCATTTATGATTCTACATATTTTTGGTGGAAACAGGTTGAAAGTGAGTATTAGGCTCCAGGTGCCATGATAATGTCAAAGTTGAGGAAACTTAATACCGTATTTGTCCAGGGTAATAAGGCATATCTGCTGAAGATTAGCACCTACTGAGTGAGACTGAAGTAAAGTATCATCAAACCACAGAATGGGAAGGGGCTATTCAGGCCCCTGAATTCAATCCCTTTTGGAAAGAGGAAAATAAAGTATACAAGCAATTTGCTGAATGTTGGAAAAGTGTACATTAGGAGTTGTCTTATACTGGGTTGCGTGTGGGCCTATGTATCCCAGTATTGTGTACATTTTTTATTTCAGCAATTTGTTCTTTTGCTTTTTTTAAAAGAACATCTTTATGCAAAGAATCCAAGTCAACAGACACTGCATTACAATGTCTGTGTGAAAGGTACCAAATATCCTCTTTCACGTGTGCATGAACTGATACGTAACTTGAGTTTGATAAACCTAGAATTGTAGTGATATTTTACAGGTGTGGCCAAAGCACGGCAGAGTGTGCACTGTATTTCAATAGATGGGGGAAATTAATTTGAAACTGGCAAACAATAAAGAACCATGTAAGAAATTAGCTCAGGAACAATAATCAAGTATTGTACAATATGAGTTTGGCGTCTGTCTGTCTGTCTGTCTGTCTGTCTGTCTGTCTATCTGTCTATCTATCTATCTATCTATCTATCTATCTATCTATCTATCTATCTATCTATCTATCTATCTATCATCACTCTATTTTCATAACAGAAGAAGATTGGATTAGTAACTCTAGTACTGGGATTAGCAAATGTTCCTGATAGCAACATCAGATATAGAGAAAAATGAAGATGAGGAATTAAGAGTTTCACCAAATAAGGAGAAGGGAGATCTTTAGATCTTTAGAGAAATAAGGTGGCCAAATTTTGGAGATTGGGTGCTTTATGCTCTTCGATGGTATAGGGTGGGATTCATACAAGGGGCTGAACTGATTGATTGATTTAGAATGATTTCTAGAGAAGGAGGAACTAATAGACTCAAACCATATATAATTATCTTTTTACAGAATAATAAATACTTGGAAATGTATAGAGGTCATAGATAGAATAAATATTTTTGATCATTAATTCAGCGTGAGATGATTAGCTGTCCAGAGATGATTCTGAGACAATATAGGCAGGAACTGTGGTTATACCCCTGGCCATAAAGCATAAACTATGTTGAGGAAACTAAGTGTCTGAGTAGATCATTATCAGCCATCCTGGAATGAGTATGGAATAAAATAGAAAAATAAAATTTGGAATGGAGAGTTGAAAAATAATGGAACTTAATTAATTTGAGGAAATAATAAAAGGAAGCAGCAAGGGAGTAAAGTGGTGGTATATGACTCAAGATCCTGCTCTGTCATCGTCTTCTGCCCATGTAAGTCCCTACAAGGCTTTCCTCCATGAGATTCTGAGGGGCCCATAACAAAGTAGCAACCCAGACAAAAGGTCACCTATCAGAATTGGGAGGTCCATGGATATCCAAGGGACTAGAGGCTACATCCATCTGGAAGGAGGCTGAGCTACAATAGGTGTTTCCCCAAAGGTAAAGGTTAATCCATTAACTGAGGGCACCTAAAGAAATAAGCACTGCATGATGAATAAAGGCAACCAATCTGTTGGGGGCCATAAGGAAGAACTGCTCTCTGGACATACAAGGCTGGACAATGGTCCAAACAAAACAGAAAGAGAAAAGAACTCCAGCCATGGAAACTGAAGTTAGGTATCTGAGCAGGAAATGGATAATTCTTGCAGCAGAATTCTCTGTGGTAGCCCCCGCCCTTTGGAACATTCTGCCCCCAGAGGTGCGATTGGCCCCCTCACTCCTGGCCTTCTGAAGGGCCTTGAAGGCCTGGCTCTGCCACATGGCCTGGGGCGGGGAGGGAATACTTCAAGCAGGGGGATGGCTAGCCCCATAGTGGCCAGCTCTCCGCAGCCTGACTTTCCATCTTCTTGGATCTTCCTTTTTTAGTATTGTTTTTTAATTCTGGATGTATTGTGTGTTTTAGATATATTTATAGTTTTAATGTCTTTTGTAAGTCGCCCAGAGTCCCCTGTTGTGGGGGAGATGGGCGGGGGAGAAATCCAATAAATAAATAAATAAAATAAATAAACTCCCATTTGTGCGCACTGAGTTCCATGATGAAAGAATACACAAGCTATCCAAACTTGACAACAGTTCTAGGCTTCAGACGAAAGGGCAACTAAGGGCAACTAAGCATGTGGGCATACTCAGGAATAGGATAGAAGAAAGAATAGAAGAGCCTGATTCTGGAACATGAAAAGAAATCTCAAAAGATGTTCCTGGCTGCTTCATTGAAGAAGAACTTTTCAGTAACAAAACTTTCCAAGCAAAACTACTCAAACCATTCAGGATCAAATCCTTGTTTTTACAGTTCCCCTTTGAGGTCATCCACCTGCAGTTGTGGCAAAATAGCACGGGGACTTCCACGGATCTTAGACAAGAGCAAACAATAACTATTTTAAAGCCATTTCCTGTGGATATGTTTTACTCTGCTGTAAAACACAAGATAAAAGTAATTATGTTCTTTCTTAGTGCTTAAGCATGTTTCCCCCCCCCCCCCCATCAAGGGATAGGTGTGGTGAGAGAATAAAAGCATTTCCATGTTAAAGTGAACCCACTGATTTTTCATCCAATAGCAACATATTCTTGTGGGGGGTCGAATGTAGACGACAGTTTAAAAATTAGTTACTGTGCTATGTGTAGCCAATCTTTCCGGGATACATATCCACTAGAAATTAATCCTTTGGAAAGGACAGGAGGGGAACTGCCAGCTTTGGCTGTAGCCATCACTTTAAAGGGAAACGTCTTGCTAAAGTGGAGTAGCTCTCCAAAGGGATTATCCAGAATTTCTTTAGACCTGTTCTAGGGCTGGCCAGCTGCCTGAAGTTGTTTTTTTTTTTTGCTTTGATGCATTTAGATGAGAATAATAGAAAACTTTATAGAAGCAGGTTTGTACTACTAAAACAAGATTTAAGGAGAGATTTCCAAGACCTTCTGAAGCACAGAAGCATAGCCTAGAATACATCTATTACATTCTCAGGTGGGACATTACCCATTGGGTTCAGCCAAGGCTTCTGAACCATCCTTGTCATTTTGCTCAAGATTGCTAATTAATCATCAAGTTGCCCTTGCCTTCTAGCTAGTGGGATAGTGTATTCCAGAGAATAAGTATTGCCTTACTCAAGGACAGGAATTGAAAGTAAGCCTGTTTCCTGTTTCTCTGTTAATTAGCCATGCAGTGATTCCTCCTCCCCCTTCATTAGCTATCTTTAATCTTTGGTTGGAAGGATGGAGGGGCTTAGATACAGGAGGAGACAGAGACTTCTGGGATATCATTTTAACAGCTTTGCTCATTTCTCTTTTCCATGTTTCTGTATTGGTTAGGCAATATAATCATCTAGCTTCCATGGTTCTTTCCACTTTTATTCTAGTCTCTGCACTTATAGGTACTGCTGTTTGAGACCAGCTTGATGCCTGTTGTTTGATTTGTGCATGTTTACTCAGTGACCAATCAATGTTTCTAATGCTACACGCAAAGACAACGTTTCCTTTCAAGCAGTATATTGTATTGTTTTAATGTTTGATTAAAAGCAAGTGCAGAGAAGTCCCAGTCTGATCACAGCGGCAGTGTCAGGAGAAGAGAAGCTTAATCCATGTATTTGTGTGTCACATGTTCTTCACCTGAGTTGCCTTCTCTGAAACTGCTATTAACAGCACTATGAAAAAACAAATATAGGTATTTTTACCTCCCACCTAGTGTTGAGTGTCTCAGTCATATTTAATTGGATTCTTGTTTCCAAGAATCAAGTAGTATTTAATGAGGCAGTGTTGAATACCACGAAGTGACTTCATAATTGCTCTGCTGCCCAGTCCACTCATTGTTCAGGTTTATGTTTACAAGGATTAACCTATTTTAAGTAGTTCAAACTTGGTAAATTCCAAAGGAACAGTGAAATGTCTGCAGAAGTGATTACACAACGGCTTTATTATTTTCCAGACTCTGCACAAATTAACGTACTTCACATAGAAGCTTTTGGACACAGCAGTAAGGGTAGGGTGTGCAAAATATTTCACTTTAAATCACTTCTAAGTGTGCAACTTCATGAAATGTCTTGTTTTGAGTGCAAATGGGATGCTTCTACTGTGAAGCTGGCTGTTATGAATATTTTGGAGGTGTCTTGCAATCAAAATGGGGTGTTTCATGAAGTTCTGTGCTCAAAACGGTTAATCTCTGTAAGAAAGATGGGCAGGGTTAGCAATATCTCATTTTTTTTTTTTTTTATACTATTCTTTGCAGACTGGGTTAATTGCTGATGCCCGACTGAAAGACTTGACTCCACCCATGCCAACTATTTTCATCAAAGCCATCCTTGTCGACAAGCAAGATACACGCAACGTATATCCATGCCCTGTATATAAAACTCGCCAACGGGGTCCTACTTATATTTGGACATTTAACCTGAAGACTAAAGAGAAACCATCTAAGTGGATTTTAGCAGGGGTTGCTCTCCTCCTGCAAATTTAGATTTCAGTTCAGATTACTTCTCTTTTTCGAGCAGCCTTGTCAAAAAAAGTCATCTTTTCTTATTTGGTATTTGCTTCAGAGAATGAATGAATGCCTAATGTTGTTTCATACTTATATACATCTTTCAAAAAATGAAAGACGAGTTGAATTATTTTCAAGCACACCACAGGGTTTCAAGTTTATTACATTTTTAAATAAAAGGTGCCTACTTGGTTTATGTACCATAAATAAGTAATAACAATTATCCAATTTACCGAACAGGGAACATGTTTAAATAATAGGTAAAACAAGCATAGAAATTCATGTAAGCCAGTCTTAGGTCTTCAGATATGTTGGAACTACAATTTTCAGAATTCCCAGCTAGCATGGTTACGCTAGCTGGTATTTCTGGAAGTTATAATCCTGGTGTATCTGAAGTGTACCAGCATGAGAAAGGCTGGCTTCAGCTGAAACTTTCTTGAAAGTCCTGGAAAATGAATGAGGTCTTTCCAAGCATTAAGAAGATGACAACATAAATATTGTGTTAGCTTCTGTGGGAAGACCATTTCATCGGTAAAGATCCAGACCCTAAAAGCCCCTCTTCCCTGTTTCCCTTTACAATTCATTTGCAGAGGGGACCTAGGGAGGACCTTCTCTGATTGTGACTACTAGGAATGGGAGGGATGGGCATATGTTTGAGATGGCTAGTCCTTTGGGTATACTGGTCCCAAACCATGAGAAGCTTGAAAGATCAACACCAGTACTTTGAATTGCACATAAAAACAACATACAGCAAGCAGTTCAAACCCCATTTTCTAAATAATTGTATTTGCTAATTAAACTTCAAGTCATCAAATGCTGAGATGAGTACTGCTTTTTAGTACTCATACTACTGTTGGGTACTGCAAAGAGAAAGCGCTGTTGTGTTGGATTTTTCCTCCAGTGCCAAATTTTGGCATTGGCTTCAAAATGAAACTGAGTAGCAAGACTGACTTTCAAACACTTTGAGGCATAAATGAGTGTGTTTGACATGTTGCTTTACTGATGGTTCATGCTTTCAGAAGATTATACTCTAGGAATGCTGAGAGAAAGTGACAAGGCTATTAAAGAAGGGGAAGTCTGTAATGCAGAAAGTAAATGTAAGAGTTTGGAATGGTACCAGTTTCTTTATAAAAAAATATTTGTGTTCTGTTGTCCAATGATTGTCTTCTTCTGCCCTCTACTTTGCAATGATACTGTGCTTTCTGATTGCTCAAATTATGTGTGTCTGATTGCACATGTTAAGCTCAGACCTGCTTGTCCAAACCATCTTTTTGAGTCAGTGAGAAAACCGTGGAAGACAGTTCATATTAAAAGCTTAAATAAGGATTCATATAATTATCTTTGAGCTATCCCATAATTTCAAAATACTGGTTGCTTATCATAATACTGCTTGTTATTTTTGAAGTTTCTATGATGATTCTTTTTACATTTTTACAGTAGTTAACTGTGGTGTACCCCCATTAGGTGAAAATATGAGCTAAGAATGTCATTAGGAAACTTGATTATTGTTACTCAAATGTCCAGAATGGTTACAGGAGAGGCACAGCGTACATTTCCCCCCAAATGAATGAAAATGGTTTTCTCTGGAGATAACTTGTCCTCAAGACAATCTCCAAGTATGAAAGCTGATTCTGGTGGGGGCTGGTCAACTATTATCAACATCCATTTGATAGTGGCCAGATTCATTTGTCTGCAAGGAATGCGTCTGATTACTGACAAAGAAATACCAGTCTGCACTTAGCATGTGAGATTATTGGTGTACAAATGCTTTGTTAGAATCTGAATTGCTTTGCATCATAAACACAATGCACCAAGAATCTTAAATCTCTAGCACAAACACATTCTTATTATTTTGAGAAGCATCTCAGCCATTTGTGAGGGAAAAAAAATCTCAGGAAAAAATCTTAACACTTTAAAATCCATGCTTGAGAAACTGAATTGTAGCTCCCTCTGCTTTTCTATTCTTTTTTTCTTTTTTCTTTTGGTACTGTTGTTAAGGGGTACATGAGGGAATATGGCAGGATACAGATATGAGTAATTACATCAAGTAGATACTTGATGCACTGTGTTGCAATTCACTGCTTTGATGAAAAATTAAATGTCATTAATAAAGGTATTTAATAATAACTTTTGCTGGTATAGTGACACTACTAGTTTCATTTCTAGAAGTTCCTACTGCACTCACTTTATTTCTACAAAGAAATAGCATACTATCGTTATTCCTCTGTGTAGATTTCCATTTATCATTCTTCATAGTGAGATATCAAGCACTATAATATAACTTTCTTGGAATTTGACTATTAAAAGCAAGCTCTGACTTTCTGGATCTTAATATTTTAGACTCTTCTAAAATGCAAAGTCCCTTTATTCAACAGAACAGCATGATGAAAAGGCTGATCAAGGCTGCTGCCCCAGCAGAAGACTTGGCCATCCATAGTCAGTGGAAGCAGTTTGGTCTCCGTGGTACTGCACAATCGTTGAACTTGTTGTGTATTCTCCGTTTCAGTTGCTTGAAAGAGAATTGTAATGGGAAATGTATGGCATATTACAGGCCAACCATGGCAAGTCTGAAACCAAAAGCTTGACAAACTACAAGGTTGAACATCTGCTTTTTAAAAAATGGTCCTTAAAAAGAAGTTAAGAAAAAAGGCATGAAGGGACTTCCAAATCTTAAATGTGGAGACACAGGCTCTGAGGCGATGAAGCTGTAAATAGCCCTGTAGTACAAAAGAGCATTGATAGGAGGCTATATTCCTGGTCTGTGCAGGAAATTCTTAACTTCTCTTGCTGACAACTTGTGGATTCAGAAGAGTTAAGAAGATACCCTTAACTTGATACTGATGTGAAGATTTAGGCGCTTTCCCAACTTGTACCTAACTCTAGCACAAACATGACCTGACAATGTTTTTGTCCAGCCATATTCCTGTGACACTACCTTCATTTCATTCCCAGCCTCTAATTTGGTTGGGCTTAAATTATCCTTAGCTGTACTGGTGTTAAACTAGCATCTTTCCCCATCCCAACACCTTATTCTGACAAAATCCAAGGGGAGCTTCAAACTTCATTAAAGCTTTCATGCCCATTACCTTGGAAGGAAATCAGGTGACTGTAGTGCCTGGAAACTGAGGTAATAGGAAAGGAATTGGCAATGGGGACAGCCATTGTCATGGCAGTAAATTTTTTTTTTTTTTGCTAACTCAAGGAGTAGAGAGCAGTTCATCTCAGCAGTGGAGAAAGCCCCTTGGACAAGGAAGTGGAAGGAGCAGGAACACCGGGAGAAAGTGACTGTGTAATGCTGGGATTTTTTATTTTAAGGGAAGCTAAAACTGAGTGCAATTAAACGTGTTATAGGGTGGAGCTAAGTAAACTTACGTATCTATCATCTGTCTACCTACCTACCTACCTACCTACCTACCTACCTATTATGTGTGTGTGTGTGTGTCCTTCAAGTCAGCTTTTGATTCCTGGTGACTGTCTGGACTAGTCCCTGCAGTTTTCTTGGCAAGTTTTTTCAGAAGTGGTTTGCCCTGGCCTGCTTCCCAGGGCTGAGAGGGAGTGACTGGCCCAAGGGCACCCAGCTGGCTCCTTGCTTCAGGCAGGACTAGAACTCAACAGTCTCCCAGTTTCTAGCCTGGAGCTTTAACCACAACACGAAACTGGCTCTTGTGAGTAAAAAAATAAAGATAACTCCTGGCAGAACAACAGATTGAATGACATTACAAAATTGGTGTATCTTTGCGACTACAGTGGTGAAATGGGAGTGAGTGCCTCTGGTTAAGACTTGCTTTTGGATAACACTTTGGCCCAGCTATTCATGCTGCTCAGACAGGCCTGGACTTTGGGCTGAGCAAGTCCATCCACTTTCCACCTCCCATATCTAACTTCAACCTGCCTGGTCACTTCCATGATATTCTGTCTGGAGAGGTATCCCAGTTTCAGCATAACCCAGGGGCCAGTTGCAGACCCTGGTATTGGCTGTCATACTGTCAGTCTAAGACATGGTCGCCCATAGTTCAGGGCTAATGGTTCACTGATTGAGCTAACACCAGAGTAAGTGATCGATAGAGCTTTTACAGCCCGTACATAATGGGAGACATGGACCATTATTTCTTATAGAAACCTGCTTACAAGTGGCCCTTTCCAGAAATTGTGGGTGTGCTGGCTACAGACCCTAGGAGTTTTCATTCCGATCTATCTGGAGAACATCCGTTTGGAGAAACCAACCGATAGTTACTGGCTTGGTGGCACAACCATGTTTCCAGAAGTACCTTTATCTGTCTTACCCAATTATTTGAACTACAGCCACTTGGTGGTGGTAGGAAGGAATGTTAAATTGCCTGGCATTTATGTACAATTGTTCTCTAAGTCCAGACAGGACCGCAAGTCTGATCAACGAAAGAAGCTCGTGGGAACTGAGAAATCTGGGCAACCTTAAACAAATGAACTGTGATTTCTGAGGACGGGTGTTCGGGCACTGTCTCATGATGAACGCAGGTTCTTTAGGGACAAACAGAATTTATTTCTTAATTTTCTCTTTGGCACTCTCACACAATAAATGGCTGTGGTTCGCATCTGAGCTCATTGATGGATAAATGCTATACATAATTTATAATTATTTGCAACTCATCTCTCAACCCTGACATCTTTCCTACTGTGTATGGGTGGCTGTAGTGCTTTTATCCCAAAACTGGCTCTTAGACTCCCACAGTTTATTTATTACAAGTAGTTCATTAAATGTCTGTAATTGGCCAGATAATTCAGTGCACGCATTTACAAATGCACTTAATTTAGAATGTTTCCTGAATGTATGAGGCCTTTTGTGGAGAACTGAGCAGAGTCTTCATAGACAATAATGCAGAGGTTTTAGTATGAATAATGTGGAAAAACAGGGCATCAGTGCAGGCTGTGCCCAGGATAAACATACGAAACCTTAGAAATATTTAGGAATCAGAAGAGTTACTAAAGTGGCAATTTGCCAGATGACAATTTCTTGTTACTTATCTTTTAATCTTCAGAATTTGCCTAATTTTTCCTCTGTCAATCTCTGCTTCAGTTGGTCCTACAAACAACACACCTGGGATATACATCTTATGCATCTCCTGGGTTGGGCCTTATTTTGCTGATAAAGGCAGCCTTGCACCAAGAGGTTAGTGTTTGCCAATTTAGTAGGGATGTAGGTCTATTTATATCCTCAACGAGAGCCCATCGGTTGTAGAAGTTCGCAGAGCCATTTCAAAACCTATTGCTCTTGCTGCTGTAACTCTTAGCATTTTTTGTTTTCTTCTGATGCATTTCTGTCTACATAAGGATTTCCCTGAATATGTATAAAGTAGTATCTTACATTTAAAAAGTCTAACTTTGTTTTCAAATGCATAGACATTTGACAACCCAATTATATATGATTTAGTAGTCTTCTTTATTTTGTATTCAGAAATCAAAGTATGTTCCATCACTAATCTCTACTATTTTTAGAGACCATAATGGGTCTGTGAACATAACTGCTACTGAAATCCACCTACACTGAAACAATTTTGTGTGGCTTTGGAATATTGACGTATTTCACTAAAGGTAAAGACTATATATCAGAGTCGTTATGGAGACCTGGGAGAATTGCCATTCTATTTTTATTCCTCTCCTTTATTAATATTAAAGAGATCATACTGGGTTTTTTTCTGGAATGAAGACATCTTTTTCAGGCATTTTGCTCCCTGTTAGATGTGGGTGGAATTTGGGTGTTGTGTATACTTTTACTGTGCTCTGTGTACTTGATGAGCTCTGCAATTAATTACAGTAATAAGATTATTGGTAAGAAGTGGCAGATTTAGAGAAGGATGATTAGATAATTAGAGATAAATTGCTGTTTGTGGGATCTTATTGAGTATGTGCTGAAGATTGTCTAGCTTTGAAGAGATAATTGAGTCTCTGATTAATGACGGTTTGGCAGCAGCCCTGATTTCAGCTTCACTCACCTGGATGAAACTGTGATGATCACTATGGCAAGAAGATGAAGCCTATCCAATAGCTTTACTTTTAAGAGAATAGTGGGGGGAATAGATAAAGTGATTGAGAGGGTCTGCATTTGTAAGCTGGAACATCTGTTTTTACTGCCTGAGTTCAGAAGCCTTCAAAATGTCTTCCTTCAAGGGACCATTTCTATATTATGTGTCCACTGAGGAATTCCCTTCTATTGCATAAGAATGACCCTCAAAAGATATTCATGTTCGCACTGACTAGGCATCAGGTATGAACTGAGAACAATGCACTCTGAATTGTCATATGGTAGGGTAGGATTGGTACCAACGAACACCCATTCTGTCGGGTGGCTTTTCCACCATCACTGATCATCTCATTCAAGAAGTGTAGGATCTCCTGATAGAAAATCTGCAGTGGCAACTTTGGAAATAATGCCATAGAAAACTGAAGTGAGAAACATACTATGTAGCATACACAACTCTTAAAACAGAAACAACTAACCTCAAAATGAGTTGTTAAGTTATATAATGCACTGATGTTCTCTGCTTTTTGGTCTCTTTTATCTGAGCAGGAACATTTTGAAAAACTTTGGAGGAATTCTTTGTGGTTTCTGGATCATTTATCCTTCCAGTAAGAACCCAATCTTCAACTCATTTTTATTCTCACTTCCTTCTCAGTCCTTGCTATTGTTTGTGAGTTTCACTCCTCCAAATGTTTTCAGGCCACTTGTATGTATTCCAATCATTGCCTGCACAACAAATGATGGGG